TTGACGAGTTCTGCACTTCCACGCATGCACAGGATGCATACAGCGGCTGCGCGATCCTCCAGGAGCAGCTGGAGCGTCGCGCAGACGCTAGTACGCATGCGTGCACCACGTGCGTGCACGAGGACGCCGCCGGCCCTGTTCCAACCGAATCGGTTGGAACGGGGCGAGAAACCCACCCCTGCCTTACTCCCAAGTCAACTCTGTTTTCTTAATTGTTCTTGCCTTCTGGCAGCTATGCACATGCGCACATTGGAAACAGGCTCCCGCTGTTCTTCTGCCTCACTGATGTCTGACTCCAGAGGCTCCGTATGCAGCAAATATCTACCAGATGGCCTTGGCCCCCTCTCTGCCTGCCTCCGACGCAGAGCCCTCGTCCGAGCCTTCCTCAGACTCCAATGCCCCATATTCCTCCCCAACCTCCTCACTCTCCAAATCTGCTGCCCAGCTCTGCTGGCCGCTGGTGGGCCCCAACAGTTTGTCGGTATGGTTGGGAGAAGTGGTACCTATTTGTCTACTTGCAGGAGGTGTGATGTCTCAGCAGTTAAAGCTGCTGAGCTTGCCAGTCCGGCGTGCGAGACCCAAGGGCTGCGTGGTGGGTTGAGCTCCCATTACTTGCTCCAGCTCCTCCCCACCTTCCTGATGTACTTCTCCTGAAAAAAAATAAAAGGCAGAACGGAGAATGTGAATTAGGGAACACAAAGGAGTCATTTGCATATCTGTTTGGAAAGGACTAGTTTGAAGGGAACACAAATAATTAGGGCAAGCCAAGGGAAGGGGCCCTCACCCCACCCTCCCTTCCTAATTCATCATTCAAAAGCTCATTTTTCAAGGAAGCCCAGGGGAGCAACACAAAAGAGAAACATGAGCTACAGCCATGGCAGCAGGGATTCAACAAACATCAATGGGACTGCACAATGAAAGGCATAAACCCATGATAGTTGAAGCTTTCTTTTATTGATTGGCAGTGTGCCACAGCAGATCCAAGGACATTAATCCACCGTCCACCAAGGTGGCCTTCTGGGACTGAGGGACTCAAGGGACACCACGAGAGGACAACTCTTGCGGAACTGATGAGGGTTTGAAATCGGATCTGCTCTCCTTTCGGCAGCCTGCACTTCTCCATTCCCTATAGAATTCAACTAGCTGGATACCCGTGCTCTGCTGTGAAACAATGTGATCGGGCTTGATAAATTGGCACTTACAGCTTGAAAATGAATGAGTAGTTATCATCAGCCTCTCCTCTCCCCTTCTCTCCCTCAGGCTGGCCCCATTGATCCTCTCATCTCCCCTTCTCTCCCTCAGGCTGGCCCCATTGATCCTCTCCTATCCCCTTCTCTCCCTCAGGC